TGTTAATTACCTCACGTCGGTCCAGGGTTTCCCGAAAGAGCAGCGATTCTTGCGGTGATGGGTAGCTATTACTGGTGTTCACTATAAGACAAAAATGAAAGCACAACAGAAGTCGCAGTAGAGAGCAAAACATGTTGCTAGCTATGAGGCGGACGTCCATTGTGTGCAGATATGCAAGACAGCCGCGTTAAAAACCATTGTGTGCGTCATGTTGATAATTAACCGTCCAAAATGAACATAAGGGATGTAAAGATGAACCATTATTCACTTAAGTTCAGCTACCTTTCAGTCATGCTATTCTCCAATTTTCCATTTAGTTGATGAATGGTGTTCGGATAATATGTCATTTTATGAGCGGCAAATGTTGGAGATATTGAAACAACATGATCCTGTCTCTATCAACAAATTGTTCCGAATATCTGATACAAACGCAGCACTTTTATTAAAAGCGGTTACACAAGAAATTGAATGGATCACTCAGAACCGTGAATATAGGTTTGCTGTAGAACGAGAAATGACTCACCAAATAAGATTACATGTCACATCTTTCATTCAATTAATTGAGTGTATGTGTTGTTGAAAAAAAAAAAATATCGACAAGTGCCAAAACTTGCGTTCAGACAGTAAGTATAACCTGCGCGCATAGTTATTGTTGTAAAGTTAATGGCTAACATGTACATATTCACTAATTGCAAGTAATGATCATTAGAGGAATCAAATGAGTTTAAGGATGATAAGTTATTGAGCGCAAGTTTAATTTTCGTAACAGTCAACAAGTTCAGAAAATATTTTAGTAAGGAAAAGATAGAACAGGTTAATGCCACATTCACTTTCATTTGATTAGTTAATTTCACAATAGAATTGTAATATTCTGGCAAAGCATAACACATGCTAACTGATTTTTGGATATGGTCCAAGTATGAGTATAATTCAAATAATATTTTAGATTTTTTATTGGAAACAAGGATCTTAGGAATAATGAATGGTGAAATGCAGCAAACGAATGGAAAAGTTCTGATAATCACGCAATAGGCAATGGAAAGACAACAAGTAAACTCGTGGTCAATGATGAGAAATAATGTTTAAGTACTTGTGAATTTGTATGAAAACTCAGTCGATGAATAAACGTTTCAAAGCTCCAAATCTACGTCGTCCTCGTCATTATAATAGAGAGCTTTCGCACCTGTGCGTTTAGGTGAAAGACTACGTTCAGGTCATCATATTTTGCTGTCTAGTGACGTGTACACATACGGTTAGAGAGAACATCATCCGCAGCTAGATTGCTACCCGTCAATGAAAAACGGTTTGACAAATCAGCATAATTTTATGAAATCAAGCCTTTCAAAATTGATAGTTTCTCTGTAAAATCACATTGGGCATTTTATTTTTGCAATATATGTGAAACATGTTGTATCTGTTATTTGTGTCTATGTTTTTTGTTACTGTTGAAATATAGTTTATACTCGTAAAAAAGGCATTTTCTACTGACCACAAGGCAGTAAGAACTGGCCTTTCGCACGCATGACTGATTGTATTATAAGACTGTTAGGTCATCATTTTCTGAGCAGTTGTTACGAGTACACATGCCTTTTTAAGTGGTCTGTGGACTAGCCGTCTGCACTTGACGCATAACAAGCAGGATATCCGCAAGGTAAGTGCCGTTAGTAAGATACTACTAGTAGCTCGATTTTCTCCTTTAGTTGACAGGACATGTCCCCTCGACTTTTAATGCAAATTTTATGAAGCCTTGTTTCGAAAGTCACATGGCGTCCTGTTTTGTGTATTTGAATAAATGAATTATAAATAAAAGTAAGGATAGCACATCTTTCTTTACATGAAATTGTCTCTAACAGCAAATATTATTTAATATTTATTATATCAGTAACAAAAACTGACGCTGCATTAATTTTTCAGCTGAAAATTGCGACAACATGCCGCCAACTAAGAAGCGCCGTACTGACTCACCAGCAGATTACGTCAGTTACCTGAAAGACAAGTTGGTCTTCGAGAAAGAACGCTTTGAATAAGAAAAGAAAGAGCGAGAAGCTCAAATTGAGAAAGACAAACAAATGATGGAGATGGTTATGTCTTTGGTTAAAAAGAGAAACTGAATTGGCATATTAGGCTCTTGCTGCCTTTAAGATACACATGGGCTGAATCTTTGTTAAAACATTAGTTTTTTATTCAAGATTTCATTTAAATAAATGTTTGCTTGCGGTATGAATTTTACATTTTACTCTTTAATTTTCCATACGCACAATGTACACGTGTACAGTTCATGCTAAATAGTCCTCCAAGGAGGGAGGATCTAGTTCAAAGTACCGACTCATCTGATTGCCATACACACAGGTATGGCAGTTGACCAGAAGACAACCTACCAAGTAGTGCTTGGCTACAGGAGACAACAGAACTTTTAAATTCTTTCGAAATTCCAGGAAGGCAAAGTTTCACAATAAGTTTCCGAACTCCCACTCGACGCATTCCCGCACAGTGGACATTCTCCTGTTGAATTCTTCTTCTTCGGCACTCATATTTGCTCCTCTGAAGGAACTCAACAAATACCTTTTAACCGGGTAAGCCGGATCTCCATAAATTGCGTATGCAAGACCATTCCAAAATTACCTAACCTGTCCAATGGCGTATGACCTCATTTAACGTCTCTTCATAAGCCTCGGTCACAACCGACCGTATGGGCTCTTACGGGCAGTTTGCGTCCAAATTTTGCGCAGAATCTCACGTCCCACGCAAGGCCTTCCTACGCAACTTCTTACAGCTCGTAAGCACGTAGGGAGGATGTTGGACATGTCCAAAAGTTTGTACGAATAGCCTGCGAAGAGCGAGGCCGCAAGCGTAACTTGCTCCCCTCGTACAGAGTTAGCAAGAGAGACGCGCGTTGTACAAGACTCACGTTGCAAGCAATGAAGGAGCAAGTGCCCTTTGCGTGTTGAGTAAGGCGCACGCCCTCACAACTAACGAACAAAGTCGAGAGCACATGGTGTATAAAAGGCGTGCTCACGACGAACGCTCGTGTCTTTACAAAGAACATCGACTATGTAACGTGTACAACAATTTTCAAAATTTTCAAATTTTTGCTGAATTTTGTTTCTAATATGCCTCAAAAAGGCAAGAGTAAGAAGCTTACATAGTAGAAAAAAGGGAGGAGGAAGAAGAAAGAAGAGTAGAACAGGAAGCAAAACTGACGTACGCCGTCAGTACGTCACCACAAACGTGTGAGGCAAGTGTGAAGTAAAACTGACGCAAAAGGGCACTTCTTTCGTCGCTCGTTGCATTCCCTTCGTAAGTGGTGAGTGTGCCACGTATACAGGAAGCAAGACAAACTCAAAAATGAGTACAATTTCCACGACCATCGCTCCTTGCAATTAGCTTCCCTGCCTGAAAGGACATCTCATGTGGCCCTTGCGACTCGCAAGGCAGACTTTCCTCTACCTCTACGACCTCCACGGCCTCCGTAACACCCAAAAATCGCAGGGGACGTACGATCCTGAAATTCGTGCGTCCGGTTGTGACCGAGGCTTTACAGCATGTGAAACATGTATCAGCCTACTGTACAATTCGACTATCCGTAAAGGCTAACCGGATCTTTCTGCGAAATCTGCGAAAACGTTGGTCATTTTACGGTTACGGATAGCTAAATGTAGTCGGTCGCCTAGACGTGCAGGTGCGAAAGCTCTCTATTATTCTAAAACCCACGTATAGTAGAGTATACCAATCCCTGCACTACGATATTAAAATGTGCTTCTCGCCAGAATTCAGGTGCATTACAGTGCATCAAATTTTGTACAGGTGATTGCACTGCAACAGATAGTGTGATTAAAGTTTAAAGCACCTAACAGCTGAAACCTGACGCCGATTGATCTGATTAAATCACTTAACGCTGGGAGTATAAATGGCTTTGAGCACTGTATTTGGTGATAAGTGTCTTTTTAGAGTGTGTGTGTGTGTGTGTATGTGTGGGTGATGAGGGCCAATGTTACAGCAAGATGCCTTTAAACAAATACATTAATGTGTGAAATATATTTTCAGAGAGTGATAATCAAATAATCAGTACTAGGTATGGTCTTCTCTGAAAACTAATGATACTTCAGATTCATTTCCAGATAATCATTTGTTTCTGTCACAATACAAAACGACAAAAGAAACTCATTTAATGTTTACTCTGGATAAACCAGATTGGATCTTTTTGCAAACATTTCATTTGCACCTTTAACTTTAAAAAAACATACATACTGTTTATCAAAGCCTGTTGTCCAACGAAAGCACAGACAAATGAAAATACTTAGACTTGTGACAATGTTACCTATTGTCTCCGTCAGTATTTCGATAAAAAAAAATATATTTTTTTAATTTGTCACGTAAAGCATATTTAATTGGCTCAACCCCTATAACAAATGAAAATGATTAGATGGAGTGTCCTAAATTGTTTTTCTTCGTCCATGTCATCTGAGGTTTACGAGTAAATTGTTCGATAAAAGCTATATATTCCCAGTCGCGTGACGCATTATACAATGGCCTAATCCCATTTAATCATTCCTGTGTAGGCGCTCCTCTGTTGTGGGAGAAATTTATCACCTTTTTGCATCATTTTCCAAGCATTTTATGTGCACATTTAAGTAGCAGAAAAAATACAAATATATTGTTTATCAAAGTCTGTTATCCAACAGCAGCATAGACAAATGAGAATAATTACGAAGAGTGCAAATTTTTCCCTACTTATCTCTGTCATATTTAAAGAAAAACAACATTCATATTTGCCTCATGAAAGCACAGTAATTCAGTGGTTCAACTACACAGACAAATAAAATAATATAATTGAATGTCAAACAACTGTTTGTCGTCGTCCCTTTCATCTAGGTATACGTGGGCATCGTTTGATAAAAGCAATATTCCCAGCAGTCGCGTGACGAATCATTAAATTGCCAATTCCCACTTAGATATTGCTGTATAGTGCCTTTATTGCGTGATAAATTTGTCACCTTGATTATTTACTAACAGACAGAAACCGTTATATTATGGATAATTGAAAAACGTAAGTTTGTGTTCCAAAACTTTATTCTTGATATACGTATAGAGCCGTCACATAAAAGAAAAAACAGTTAGGATATTTAAAATGCTACTCTGTGCTTGTCCTCAGACGCAGAGATAAAACTCAACAAATAACGCGTCTTTCAAATGAAAGTGAATACAAAACCATATATATATACGGAGAAAAAATACGTTTACATCGTTCGATAAAAGCTTTTTCCCAGCCGTTTTAAGCATATTAAAGGACCCATTCCCATTAATTAAGTCAGTACTTAATAGGCGTTCCCCTATCGTGGGATAAATTTATCACCTTGTTTACTAACAGTCAGAAACCGTTATGTAATGGATAATAACCCAAAAAGAACTCTTGGCAGATATACCAATTTGTCCGTAACAATGAGATCTAAAACAGTAAAGATAGGATATTTAAAATGCTACCCTGTGCTTGTCTTCAGACACAAATATTAAACTCTACAAATAACGTATCTCTCAAATAAAAGTAAATGCAAAAGCATCAACATGAAATGAAAAATTAGCCATATTAAAATAATGTGACGTGAATTTTGATTCTGATAACGGTGCACTTCCTAATAAACAGGCTTCAAACAGCAACTTCAGGCGCCGTAATATAGGTGGCGCTCCGTGCGTTTTTAGCTGATGTCAGTGTAGTCATGCTCATATTTGTAGTAGATGAGATATGACCTGGTGACTTATTTCTGCAGTAATTTCGATACCGTTGCAATACTGACTTTTTCATAATGTATGAAAAGCAAATAAAAGCACCTTGCAGACAAGAAAATACGTAAAAGAGATACCACATAAATGAGAGACTTGTAAATGCAGCGATGAACGCGAAGATCCACCCAAAACCCATTAACGTTGATAGTTTACAGTAAACAAGAAATTGGTTGTAATCTGGACCACAACGTTCAACATTAGGAACAGGCCGTAAGGCAATAGCTGTCCTAATGAAGAATCCAAGTTGTAAGAGAATAGTTATCCCAACGGGCAGAGCGAAACTGTAGGCAAGTGCCATAGTGTTACCTATCCAACATGATGAACCTCCTGTGCCGTAGCCTATCGAAACACTGCTGCATTCACAAAAGTCAAGAACAACACACGGAATAACAATTACTAATGGAGAGCAATAGCTTATTAGGCAGTAGATGATATGCCACTTACGAATGTCCGAAGAATCAAACTGGGCAATACTAAAGGGATATGTAAACGTCCAACACATATGAAAAGCACATGCAGTCATCCAAGCAAATGAACAAAGCCACCAGTAATGCATCACAATGGCAAACACTTTACAAACAGCATTGTTTTGAGAGGGTACATAATTAAGGAGAAACAATAACTGTGCAAGCATCAGAGTGACGCAGAGGTTGAATGAATTTTTCCCGGGAAGACCCTTTCTTAAGTCTGTAAACAACAGGTAGGTGATAATTGTAAAAACCAAGCAAAGGACAGATAGCGAGAGAAGACTATAGGAAACAATCACCTGCACAAGAACAGAAGAAGATTCGGGAGTCCTATTTCTCTTTTCTTTTAAGTAGACGTCTACACAAATGAGAACTCCCTCCCCGTCTTTTATAAAATCAGTCTGACTCAATATCAACCCATTTACTGACAATGTAATCATGTTATCGTCTTCAGTGAACTCAGACCTGTTAAGACGCACTCTGCCACAGTTCAGGGTGTCTTCTGAAATCTTGGAGACATTTGGTAAATGGCGATTGTCCTTATTTTCGACAAATCGTGGTGCGTCAAAATTGGGGATTGGGTGGACTGGTTTTGCACTTACAGTGAAACCTGTCAAGCCTGAGCCTGGTTTCCCTTGCTCTAATGGGAAAGTATACGCTTTTGATTTTGGAAAGGAAAGATTATAGCTCTCGAATGAAATACAAAGCATGCAAGGAAATCGAAAACATGAGCGGGCATTCTCCTTTGAAGAAAAAGAAAAAAATTGCATATAAAATGGTACTTCTGTTGCCAACGAAAGAAGCTCTACGTTGCTAAAATTCAGATGCAATATCGCGACTGATGTTTCCAAAGAAGAGCTGGACCTGATGACACTTTGTTCCTGATAGCCAATCACAAAGGAAACGTTTGTAAAATGTGCCCTTGGATCGACTGATGCTGTGCTATAATCATATCTTCTCTGAAAGGAGATTTCAGGGTTTTTGAAGAACATAAGACGCATACCAAGGGCTTCGAAATGAAGCAAAATATGCCTTATGAAATATCTTTCTGTACCAATCAGGATATCAGATGGTTGAAAATTCATTGAAGAATTTATCTCTATTTTCCACGTTCCTGTCAGCAAGATCCTTTTTTCTGGTAGGCCATGTCGAGTGACGACACTGATGTTCAAATCACTGAATTCCCACGGCATCCTCAGATGTTGACTAAATCTTGACTCTATCTGCCTAGCAACAGACGATGATACACCCTTCCAGATTGCTGATCCCGTGATATAAACCGCGCTCGATTCATTTGATGTATGCGTTGTGATCAGAAAAGGATAACTACACGTTTTTATGCCGTTGGATTCGACTTTCATAATTATGCCTGTGTGAATAATCTGTGGCTCAAATCTACAACTAATGGCATCATCCTCAAAAACACCGTATTTGTCCTCTGTATACGTGCAGTGGACCTCATCGGGAATAATGTTAGCTGATATTGTAGATACGTTGTAAATTAGATCTTTGCACAAAACTGGATGCGTTGCGTCAATGGAAAAAGCATAAAGTTTCACGGGCACCTTAAAGCTGCAATTCAGATTGATTTCAGGGAACTGGTCAATGCAGTCTGTACCACTGGGAATCATGCCGGCTGGACAAATTACTTTTCTGCATTCCTCCTGTAAATATAGACAACTTGTGCATTATTTTAGTGATGGATTTAATTTAAAGCAAGGATGATGTTGCTTTTATACGCTGACTGCGTTTTAGAAGGCGAAAATAAACACATTTGAAAAAGATTTCGTAGATTATTGCTACTGCTCCTCATTTTTCAAACAAGAGTCGCTACACGCTAGCTAGTTTTTTCATTTGGTATATAAACATTGACACAAGAGAGAGCTTTTGATTTCATCTGCAAAAACAAATTTTACTATATTATTCCCCTGGCCAGTGTGTACTTAACATAGACGAAAGCAAAGGACAGACTGATGGTTTATACTATTCATCATTTAGACTGAATAAGGCGATTTTACATGGATATGTTAACGAAATATATACATTTGTAAATGGAGAGGCTAAAAAATACAAATGCAAATAGGAAGCTAGATGAGATAAGTTTAAGTGCAGCACAAAATAATCTTTAAGAAATTATTAAGCACACGTATACACTGTCAAATAAATATATATGGCAGGAGCCTCAAATTTAGAGAAACAGTAACATAATATTACTAGACAAATTGTTTTACTGAAAATTTTGGCCTTAATAAATAAAACAAATCTTGCAAATATTTGTGTTTAACATTTTCCACGAAAATGTATAATAAATTGAAATACCCACTGAACTGTATGCGTAATTATGCCTTTCTGTAATTAATTCTTACGTTACACATTTCTTCGTGGCAGGAAATTTCAAACTTGGGAAAGAGATAAATAATATAATTAATAACAATAAGTAAACAAAAAATATATACAGTCACAAAATAAGAACACAGCAAAAAATTAAAAATTAGTCAGAAACTTAAACTCGGCCTTAAACTTAAACCGGTCGGACTGGTAGAGAAATCCTGTCTGACTTAAGTTGAGGAGGACGAAGACAACAGTAAATGAAACATAATCATTTAACCTTAATATTCTGTATCTGTTAGAAGATAAAGACGGGCAAAGTTTAATCGTGCAGTAACAGACAGAGTTACTTCAAAATACAATATGTTTGAGACTGTAACAAAACGCGTTGCTCCTGAACTCGCCGTCTACAAAGGTTGGCAAGGTGAAAGAGAGTAAAAGCCAGCTTATCAACGAGGGTGCATTGAAGAATAAGAAAAAGGATGAGAGGCGACATACAAGTACCCTGGCCATGCGTAATAAATAATCTTTATGGCTGAAGATTTGTTTCATTCACCAAATATACAGGTACTCCTGTATGAATTATCAAAACTTTGTCAGTCGTTTCAACACGATACACAATGAACCCTACAACTTACGTATCCTTGTCTTTTGGTGTATCCTGCCGGGCATCTCTCTTGTATATTCCTTTCACGATCTGTTTCAATTTGGAAATCTGGACCAAAATCCATCAGCATAGAAAAAGGTTGGATACCTCCAGTATCCGGAAGTTCTTTATCCTCGGAAAACCTCTGTGTGTCGTGTATGATCTGTGGACAAATTAAACTGTTTTTCTCAAGGATTATACCATTGCACGTGGCGCAATGAGGATTAGCAAATAGACCAAAAGTTGACCACAGTTTTGATCTCTTATCAGGACAATATCCAAAACAAAATGTTTTCGTAATTGGTGAGAGATTGTCTGGTATTATTTCAAGGTTGATTGGAAGATAAGTAAGCTCTGTTGTTGACATCGTCGTCGTGGTTGAAGACGTTGTCGTTGTAGAATACAGACGAGGTGGCAACCCGCTTACAACCCATTGGCTATATGCCTCACATTGGTCCCTCTCATTGTCATCATACTGCTCCCAAAGGCCTGTAACGTTGCAAGTTTGGATAAGGACCTCGTACTCAAATGGTTGAAATTGCGCCATCCATTCTTCATACCATAAATCTACCGATGAGAAATCTATGGTAATGTTGTCAGAATTCTTGCTGGCATTTGTCCTACACACGTGCATATCACCTCCCATACGAGAGCGGTGTTTAAACAAAATTGAACAACTCGGCAAAGATACAATTTGTCTCAACAAAGAAAGTTTGTCCGTGGAATTTCTGGGCAATGAATCGATTATGTCTGGCGAATCGCAGTGAAAATTAAGTAACCAGGGTTCTATATCTGTATCATTGTGACAGAAAGCGCAATAAAGATTTCTATACACCAGACGACTTGTCTTGGACCAGACTGGTAGGTCTCTTTTGGGGTCTATATTGGTTGTCCTGCCTGCGTTGAAACATTCCATGGAGGTAATATTGTCGGTATTTGGCAGGCAAGATGTAATCATCTTCACCGCGTTCGGCATGCCTGGCAGAGTCACACACGACGTCTCGTTTCTCTTATTCTTGATATTTTTTAACCTCCTTATTTCAATTTCTGGTGTTTTAAAGGCGACATCATAACAACAGTCACCGTAAGCCATGCAGGTTTCCGGGGCACAACTACAGTAAGGCGAAACGCTTCCGCAAGAGAAAGTGTTGTTAATCAGTGGACATAATCTGTTAATTACCTCCCGACGGCTCAGGGCCTCTCGAAAGAGCGGTGATGGGAAACTGGCACTGGTGTTCACTAAAAGGCAAAAATGAAAGTACCACAGAAATCGCAGTCTTGAACAAAACATGATGCTAGCTATGTGCCGAACATCCAGTGCATCCAAATTTGGAGAAAGCAGCTTTAAAAACCATTGCGTGCGTCATGCTGTTGATAATTAACCGTTCCCAAAATGAACATAACGGATGTAGTGATGTACCATTAATCACTTAATCATGCTATTCTCCAAGTTTCCATTTAGTTGATAAATGATGTTCTGGTAATATGTCATTTAAGCAGCAAATGTTGGAGATATTGAAACAACATGATCCCATCCCTATCAACAAATTGTTCCGAATATCTGACACAAACGCAGCACTTTTATTAAAAGCGGTTACACAAGAAATTGAATGGATCACGGTTCTCCGTGAATAGGTTTGCTGTAAAACGAGAAACGACTCACCAAATAAGATGATATAACACATCTTTCATTCAATCAATTGATTGCTGTTGATAAGAAAGTTATCGACTAGTTCTAAATCTTGCGTTCATTCATTAAGTAACCATCATGCATCCGTATTGTTGTAAAGGTAATAGCTAACATGTGTATCTTTACTTATTGCAAGTAATAATTATTAGAGGAGACAAATGAGTTTAAGGATGAGGACATGTTGAGCTCAAGTTTAATCTTCTTAAGAGTCAACAAGTGCAGAAAATAGTTAAGTTAGGAAAAGATAGAACAGGCCAATGACACATTTACTTTCATTTGGTTTGATAATTAGAGAATAGAATTGTAATTTTCTGTCAAATGCATAACCGAGCTAACTGAGATTTGGATATGGTCCAAGTATGAGTAATTCAAATAATATTTTAGATTTTTTGACAAGGATCTTAGAAACTTCCTTATGAGGAAAAATTGAATGGTGAAATGCAATAAGAGAATGGAAAAGTTCTGATAATCACCCAATAGACGCCGGAAAGACAAGTAAACTCGTGGTCAATGAGGAAAAATAATGTTTAAGTACGTGTGTGAAAAGTTAGTCAATGAATAAACGTTTGAAATCTCCAAATCATCTACGTCGTCCTCGTCATTATAATATTCACAATAATTTTTTTTAAACCCACGTACACTACATCATTCCTGAATTACAATAAAGTTTGCATCTCGGCAGACTTCAGGTACAATGAGGTGCATAGCAGTTCATCAAATTTTGTACAGGTGATTGCACTGCAACAGATAATGTGATAAAAGTTTAAAGCGCCTAACAGCTGAAACCGACGCCAAATGATCTGATTAAATCCCTTAACGCTGTGAGTATAAATGGCTTTGAGCACTGTATTTGGTGATAAGTGTCTTTTAAGAGTGTGTGTGTGTATGTGTGGGTGATAAGGGCCAATGTTACAGCAAGAGGCCTTTAAACAAATACATCAATATGTGAAAGTGAGTGATAATCAAATAATCAGTACTAGGTACGGTCTTCTCTGAAAACTAATGATACTTCAGATTCATTTCCAGATAATTATTTGTTTCTGCCACAATACAAAACGACAAAAGAAACTAATTTACTGTCTACGCTGGAGAAACCAGTTTGGATCATTTTGCAAACATTTCATTTGTACCTCAAATTTTCAAACAAAAAATACACATGTAATGTTTATCAAAGACTGTTATCCAACGACAGCACAGACAAATGAAAATGCTTAGAGTTGCAAAAATTGTTACATACTTATCTCTGTCATCTGGGTATTCATATTTCGATAAAAAAAACTATATTTTACATAAGCCGCGTGAAGCGTAATTAATTGGCTCAACCCCATAAACAAATGAAAATGATTAGGTGGAGTGTCCAAAATTGTGTTTCTTCGTCCATGTCATCTGGGTTTACGAGTCAATTGTTCGATAAAAGCTAAATATTCTCAGTCGCGTGACGCATTACTCAATGGCCCAAACCCATTTAATCATTACTGTGTAGGCGCTCCTCTGTTGTGGGATAATTTTATCACCTTTTTGAATTACTATCATTATTTTCTGTCAAATGCATGACATATATTTATTTTATTTAGAGAAGAGTATATTTTCCAATAAACAGGGTAAACAAAGAAACAAACTCGTTCAAAGTTTACATTGAAGACACCAGAAAAGATCATTTTCCAAGCATTTCATTTGCACCTTTAAGTAGCAGAAAAATACAAATATATTGTTTATCAAAGTTTGTTATCCAACAACAGCATAGACAAGTGAAAATAATTACAAAGAGTTGTGCAAATTGTTCCCTACTCATCTCTGTCACCTTGGTATAAGTATTTCGGTAAAAAACTACATTCACATTTGCCGCGTGAAAGTATAGTGATTCAGTGGCTCAACTCCACAGACAAATGAAAATATTATGATGGAATGTCAAATAATTATTTTTCGTCGTCCCTTTGATCTAGGTATACGTGAACTTCGTTCGATAAAAGCAAAACTCCTAGCAGTCGCGTGACGCATGATTCAATGGCCAATAACCATCCAGTTATTACTGTATAGTGCCTTTATTGCGCGATAAATTTGTCACCTTGATTACTTACTAACAGACAACAACCGTTACATCATGGATAATTGAAAAACGTAAGTTTCTGTTCCAAAACATCACTCTTGGTATACATATAGAGCTGTCACATAAAAGACAGTACAGATAGGAAAATAAAAATGCTACACTGTGCTTGCCTTCAGACGCAGAGATAAAACTCAAGAAATAACGCGTCTCTCAAACGAAAGTGAATAGAAAATCATATATAAACAGTGAAAAAATAACCATACTGAAAAATGTAGTATGTGAATTTGTGATTCCCAATGAACAGGGTTCAAACTTCAGCAACAAAGGGGGCTCCTCTTGCGTTTTTAGCTGATGTCAGTGAAGTCATGCTCATAGATACAGTAGATGAGTTATGGCCTGGTGACTTCTTTCTGCAATAACTTCGATACCGATGCAAAGTTGACTTTTTCATAATGTATGAAAAGCAAATAAAAGCACCTTGCAGACAGGAAAATACGTAAAAGAGATACCACATAAATGAAAGACTTGTAAATGCAGCGATGAACGCAAAGATCCACCCAAAACCCATTAACGTTGATAGTTTACAGTAAACAACAAATTGGTTGTAATTTGAACCACAGCGTTCAACTCTAGGAACAGGCCGTAAGGCAATTGCAGTCCTTATGAAGAATCCAAGTTGTAGGAGAATAGTTATCCCAACGGGCAGAGCGAAACTGTAGGCAAGTGCCATAGTGTTACCTATCCAACATGATGAACCTCCTGTGCCGTAGCCTATCGAAACACTGCTGCATTCACAAAAGTCAAGAACAACACACGGAATAACAATTACTAATGGAGAGCAATAGCTTATTAGGCAGTAGATGATATGCCACTTACGAATGTCTGAAGAATCAAACTGGGCAATACTAAAGGGATATGTAAACGTCCAACACATATGAAAAGCACATGCAGTCATCCAAGCAAATGAACAAAGCCACCAGTAATGCATCACAATGGCAAACACTTTACAAACAGCATTGTTTTGAGAGGGTACATAATTAAGGAGAAACAATAACTGTGCTAGCATCAGAGTGACGCAGAGGTTGAATGAATTTTTCCCGGGAAGACCTTTTCTTAAGTCTGTAAACAACAGGTAGGTGATAATTGTAAAAACCAAGCAAAGGACAGATAGCGAGAGAAGACTATATGAAACAATCACCTGCACAAGAACAGATGAAGATTCGGGAGTCCTATTTCTCTTTTCTTTTAAGAAGTCGTCTACACAAATAAGAACCCCCTCCCCGTCTTTAATAAAGTCGGACTGATTCAATGTCAACCCATTTACTGACAATGTAATCATGTTATCGTCTCCAGTGAATTCAGACCTGTTAAGACGCACTCTACTACAGTTCAGGGTGTTTTCTAAAATGTTAGTGACATTTGGTAAATGGTGGTAGTCCTTATGTTGTACAAATCGTGGTGCAGCAAAATTGGGCATTGCATGGATTGGTTTTGCGTTATCAGCGAAACCTGTGAAGCTTGAATCTGGTTTGCTTTGCAATACTGTGATGGTATACGTTTTTGATTTTGGAAACGATAGATTATAACCATCGAATGAGATACAGAGCATGCAAGGAAATAAAAAACATAGACGGGCATTCTCCTTTGAAGAAAAAGAAATTAATTGCATATAAAGTGGCACTTCTGTTCCTAATGAACTAAGCTCTACGTTGCTAAAATTCATATGCAAAATCGCGACTGTTGTTTCCAAAGAAGAGCTGGACTTGATGACGTTTTGCTGTTGATAGCCAATCACAAAAGAAATGTTTGTAAAACGTGCCGTTGGATAGTCTGATTCCGTGCTATAGCCAAATCTCTGAAAGGAAATTTCAGGGTTTTTGGAAAACATGAGACGCATACCAAGGGCTTCGAAATGAAGCAAAACATGTCTCATGAAATATCTTTCTGTACCAACCATGATATTAGATGGTTGAAAATTCCTTGAAGAATTTATCTCTATTTCCCACATTCCTGTCAGCCAGACCCTGTTTTCTGGTATACCATGTCGAGTGACGACACTGATGTTCAAATCACTGAATTCCCACGGCATCCTCATATGTTGACTAAATCTTGACTCTATCTGCCTTGCAACAAACGATGATACACCATTCCAGATTGCTGATCCTGTGATGTAAACCGTTCTCGATTCATTTGATGTATGCGTTGTGGTCAGAAAAGGATAACTACACTTTTTCTTGTCGATGACTTCGACATTTGGAATACTGACTGTGCGAATTATCTGTGGCTCAAATCTGCAACTAAAGGCATCATCCTCAAAAACACTGTCTCTTTGCTCTGTATACATGCAATACACCTCATCAGGAGCTATTTCACCTGCTGCTGTGGATATGTTGTGAATTAGATCCTTGCACAAGACTGGATGCGTTGCGTCAACGGAAAAAGCATAAAGTTTCACGGGCACCTTAAAGCTGCAATTCAGATTGATTTCAGGGAACTGGTCAATGCAGTCTGTACCACTGGGAATCATGCCGGCTGGACAAATGATTTTTCTGCATTCCTCCTGTAAATATAGACAACTTATGCATAATTTTCGTGTTGAATTTAAAGAAAGGAAGTTGTTACTATAATACGGTGACTGCGTTTTAGAATGTGAAAATAATAATTTGAAATAAGGTATGTTTCCAGATTTTGTATTCACTGGCACGATACATTACCAGTTTTCCTAATTATTAAATCAGAAACGATGACATCATCTCAAATGCAGAATGAAACAACCAGCAGTTTGTGGTCGCATCGCCATTTCAACAAACAATACGCAATATATTTTGTACATTATTTCTTAATTTTTACCACTAAAGTTTGAAACTCTATAGATATCAAACATTTCATTCCAGTAAAGACTAAATATCTATAGTAACATGATTAACAACACAAAGTTCATTATCAGAATAAAATTTAAACGTTCAAGCGTTCTGAGAGAGTCAACAATTAATCTACCATTGTAGTTTATTGCTACTGCTACTCATTTTTCAGAACAAGATGCAGTACAGTCTAGTGTAGTTTTTTCATCGCGTTATGGCACACAAACATTGGTACAAGATAGAGTTTTGAATATCACCACACCTCCAAAGACATAAAATTTTGCTCTGATATTTCCCTGACCAGTGTGTACTTTACAGAGGTGAAAAGACGAAAAGAAGATGCAGGCTGACGGTTTGTAAAATTTATTATAACAAAACTAAATAAGAAGCTTTAATATATAAGACTTTAATATATAGACATGTTAACATTACAAGACGTATTATATTACTTTGTAAATGGTGAAAATAAAGATCCAAATACAAATAGGAAGCTAGATTAGATAAAACAAGTTTAAGTGGGGCACAAAATAATCTTTGAAAATAAGTTAGCGCACGTATACACTGTGAAATATACATATAAGGGAAGCAGTATAGTAACATAATATTACTACACAAATGCTGGTATTGAACATTTTGACTTAAAGAAATAAACCATAAATTTACGGAACGTATTAAAACAAAATACCTGTGTTAAACATTTTCCACGAAGGAGTAATAAAAATGCAATTAATTGCATGTATAATTATTCCCTTTTGTTATAAATTGTACATGTTATGTTGTACATTTCCTCGTGACAGGAAATTTTCAAACATGGGAAAGAAAAGAAGAAGAAGAATATTTAGCGGAATCTTTAACTTTGCACGTCAGTTAGAAATGGTATCGAAGCCCTGTCTGACATACGTTGAGGAGGCCAACATCAAATGAAGTAAAATCGCATAATAGTAATATTCTGTTATCATAGCTCAATCGTGCAGTGCCAGAGAGAGAAACTTCAAAATACAATATGTTCGAGGCAGGAAGTGGCCGTCTTCAAAAGTGGGCAACATAAATGAGAGTAAAAGCTAGCTAATCAATGAGGGTACATTGAAGAATGAGAACTAAAGATGAGAGGCGACATACAAGTACCTTGGGCATGAGTAATAAATAATCTTCATGGCTGAAGACTTGTTTTATTCACGAAATATACAGGTACTTATGTATGAATTATGAAAACTAGGCCAGTCGTTACAACACGATACACAATGAACCCTACAACTTACGTATCCTTGTCTTTTAATGTATCCTGCCGGGCATCCCTCTTCTATATTCCTTTCACGATCTGTTTCAATTCTGAAATCTGGACCAAAATCCATCAGCATGGAAAAGGGTTGGATGCCTTCTGTGTTCTTTGACTCAAAAACCCTGTCAACAGGCTGTGTGTCCTGTATCATCTGTGGACAAATTAGACTGTTTTCCTCAAGGATTATACCATTGCACGAGGCGCAATGAGGATTAGCAAATAGGCCGAAAGTTGACCACAGTTTTGATCTCTCGTCAGGACAATTCCCATTACAAAATGTTCCCGTAATTGTTGGGGAATTGACTGGTTTTATTTCAAGGTCGATTGGAAAATAAACAAGTTCTGTTGTTGACATCGTCGGCGTGGTTGAAGCAGTTGTGGTTGTAAAATACAAACGAGGTGGTAACCCTCCTACAACCCACTGGTTATATGCTTCACATTTCTCCCTCTCATTGTCATCATACTGCTCCCAAATGCCCGTAACGTTGCAAGTTTGGATAAGATCCCCATATTCAAAAGGTTGAAATTGCGCCATCCATTCTTCGTACCATAAAGCTACCGATGAGAAATCTACGGTAATGATGTCAGAATTTTTGCTGACATTTGTCCTACACACGTGCATATCACCTTCCATATGAGAGCGGTGCTTAAACAAAATTGAACAACTCGGCAAAGATGCTATTTGTCTCAACAAAGAAAGTTTGTCCGTAGAATTTCTGGGCAATGAATCGATTATGTCTGGCGATTTGCAGTGAAAATTAAGTAGCCAAGGCTCTATCTCTGTATCATTATGACAAATAGCACAGTGAAGATTTCTATATACCAAACGAGTTGTCTTAGACCAGACTGGTATGTCTTTTTTCGGATCTAGATCGGTTGTTCTGCCTGCGTTGAAACATTCCATGGAGTTAATATTGTCGTCGTTGGGCAGACAAGATGTTATCATCTTCACCGCGTTCAGCATGCCTGGCAGAGTCACACACGATGTCTGGTTCTTCTTATTCTTGATATTTTTCAACCGCTTTATTTCAGCTTCTGATCCATTAACAGTGACATCATGGCAACAATCACCGTAAGCCATGCAGGTTTCCGGGGCACAACTACAGTAGGGGGCAACGCGTCCGCAAGAGAAAGTATTGTTAATCAGTGGACATAACCTGTTTATTTCTTCCTTATGGTGAAGGGTCTCTCGAAATAGCGGCGATTCTTTTTTGTTTTCCGCCAGTAATGCTGATGGTATTGATAAACTTATACTGGTCTTCACTAAGAGACAAAAATGAAAGCACCGCAGAAGTCGCGTTAGTGAGCACAACATGCTGTTAGCTGTGTGTCGAACGTCCATAGAATTCAAATGTGCTGGATAGCAGCTTTAAAAACCAATGCGTGCGTCATGGAAGTAGATAATTAACCGTCAGAAATGAACATAAGGGATGTAAAGATTCACTTTAGTTCAGCTACCTTTCAATCATTCTATTCTCCAATTGTCCATTTACTTGACAAATGATGTTCGGATAATATGTCAATTTAATGAGCGGCAAATGTTGGATATATCAAAATAACATGTTTCCTTTTCTATCACAAAACTAATATGAGTGCAATGCTTTTATTAAAAGCGCGTTATGCAAGAAATTAAATTGGTCACGGTTCTCCGTGATTAAGTTTGTTGTAGAACGTGAAATGACTCACCAAATAAGATTACATAACACTTTTTCATGCACCGAATTAAGTGCATGCGTTGTTGATAAGAAAGTTAACGACAAGCGCTAAAACTGAATGCTTTTATTCTAAAGTAATATGCATGTATATCGACATTCCCAACCCAAGTACAGTACATCAGTCCTGATCAATGCTAAAGTGTGCTTCTCGCCAGACTTCAGGTACAATGAGATATGTAAAAGTTCACCATTTCTATGGGTGATTGCACTGTAATAAATGATATGCTTAATTTTTAATGCTCTTTACTACTGAAACCCAACGCCAAATGCCAAATACTTATGGCTATAAGTATAAATAGTCCTGAACCCTGTACAAAGTGTGTTTGGTGATAAGTATCATTTTATGTTTGGGTGACAAGGGTCGTTTCTACTCAAAGATACCTTAAAAGAAAAACGTCAATATATAATTACAGTTATATAATTACAGCGATTGGTAATCAATACTAAGAATTATCTCTTTGGAAACAAAGGATACTTCAAGTTCCTTTCCAGATAGTCACTAGTTTCCTTTACATTTCAAAATCACCAAACAAACTCATTCAAAGTTTACATTGAAAAAAGCAGTTGGGTACTTTTTGTAAGCATTTCATTAGTACATTGAATTAGAAAAAATACACATATATTGTATATGTAAGCCTGCTATCCAAAAGACAAATGAAAATTATAACGTGGATTTGCGAAAATTGTTTGTCATCTGGGTATAAGCATTTCGGTAAAAAAAAACTATATTCACATTAATTTAGAGGCTCAGCTCCACAGACAAATGTCAATAATAAGATGGAGTGTCGAAAATTGTTTTTCTATGTCCCTGTCATCTGAATATACGTTTAAATCGTTCGATAAAAGCTTTTTCCCAGCCGTCGCGTGAAGCATGATTAAAGGACCCATTCCCATTAATTAAGTCAGTACTTAATAGGCGTTCCCCTGCCGTGGGAAAAATTTATCACCCTGTTTACTAACAGTCAGAAACCGTTATGTAATTGATAATAACCCAAAAAGAACTCTTGGCAGATATACTAATTGGTCCGTAATAATGAGATCTAAAACAGTACAGATAGGATATTTAAAATGCTACCCTGTGCTTGTTTCCAGACACAAATATTAAACTCTTCAAATGACGAATCTCTCAAATAAAAGTAAATGCAAAAGCATCAACATGCAGTGAAAAATTAGCAATTTTGAAATAATGTGACATGATAACGGCGCATTCCCCAAAAAACAGGCTTCAAACAGCAACTTCAGGCGCTGCAACATAGGTGGCGCTCCGTGCGTTTTTAGCAGATGTCAGTGTAGTCATGCTCATAGATGTAGTAGATGATATATGACCTGGTGACTTCTTTCTGCAATAATTTCGATACCGTTGCAATACTGACTTTTTCATAATGTATGAAAAGCAAATAAAAGCACCTTGCAGGCAAGAAAATACGTAAAAGAGATACCACATAAATGAGAGACTTGTAAATGCAGCAATGAACGCAAAAATCCACCCAAAACCCATTAACGTTGATAGTTTACAGTAAACAACAAATTGGTTGTAATTTGAACCACAACGTTCAACACTAGGAACAGGCCGTAAGGCAATAGCAGTCCTAATGAAGAACCCAAGTTGTAGGAGAATAGTTATTCCAACGGGCAGAGCGAAACTGTAGGCAAGTGCCATAGTATTACCTATCCAACACGAGGAACCTCCTGTGCCGTAGCCTATCGAAATACTGCTGCATTCACAAAAGTCAATAACAACACACGGGATAACAATTACCAATGGAGAGCAATAGCTTATTAGGCAGTATATGATATGCCACTTACGAATGTCCGAATAATCAAACTGGGCAATACTAAAGGGATATGTAAACGTCCAACACATATGAAAAGCACATGCAGTCATCCAAGCAAATGAACAAAGCCACCAGTAATGCATCACAATAGCAAACACTTTACAAACAGCATTGTTTTGAGAGGGTACATAATTAAGGAGAAACAATAACTGTGCAACCATCAGGGTGACGCAGAGGTTAAATGAATTTTTTCCGGGAAGGCCCTTTCTCAAGTCTACAAACAACAGATAGGTGATAATTGTAAAAACCAAGCAAAGGACAGATAGCGAGAGAAGACTATAGGAGACAATCACCTGCACAAGAACATGTGAAGATTCGGGAGTTGTATTACTCTTTTCTTTCAAGTAGTCGTCTACACAAATAAGAACCCCCTCCCCGTCTTTAATAAAGTTGGACTGATTCAATGTTAACCCACTTACAGACAAGGTAATTATGTTACCGTCTCCAGTGAACTCAGACCTGTTAAGACGCACTCTACTACAGTTCAGGGTGTCTTCTGAAATCTTGGTGACATTTGGTAAACGGCGGTCTTGTTTATTTTGTACAAACTGTGGTATCTCGAAAACATTCATGGCGACGGACAATCCCGGATTTATAGCAGAAACTCTGTATTTCGAATCTGCTCTGCTTTTGCTTGCCATTATATTAGATTGCTTTGAATTTAGAATGGAAGAGTCACAACAATTAAATGATGGACATAAAATGTACGGAGATGTAGGACATAGTAAGTTGGTCTGCTCTGAAACAGGATAATGCACAAAGTAAGGCATATCCATAGTTAGAGAACTTAGTACTATATTACTAAGATATACGCGTACCGTCCCATATGTTGTTTCTAAGGAAAAATTGCCATCGATAAAATTTTGCTTTGCGTATTCAAGAGTAAATGAAATGTTTGTGAAACTTGTCGTCAAATGGCCTGGTTTTCTGTTGGTTGTTTTTTCTACACTAATTTGATTTGAACTAGGACCTTCGGCAAAAATAAGACTAACTCCAAGGGATTCAAAATGATGTAAAAGGTGGCCTAGAACACACCGCTCTGTCTCATTAATCCTGTTGTGCATAGGGGATTGCAAGGTCGAATTTAATTCTATTGTCAACGTTCCTGAAATGGAGATATAGTACTCTGGCAGCTTATGCCTGACGACGACTTTGTTGATCAAGTCCCTAGAGTCCCATGGTTTCTGCAAATGTTCGCCAAAACTTGATTCAATCGCACTCGCAGCAGACGACGAAATAGCTTTCCACAACGCGGAACCAGCCAGGTAAATGTTGTTCTGCTCATTCAGTGGCAGCGTTTTAGATAAAAAAGGTTGTGCACACGCCCGATATATAATACGTGTTTTAAAGATGCCAATAAGGACAATAAGTGGCTCCAATTTACAACCATAAGTATCACCATTGGATACTTTTCCCTTGTCTTCTGTGTATTCACATTGGATTTCGTCTGGTATACTGCCACCAGCTGCGTTGGCTATGCTTTCAATTAGATCCTTACACGAGACTGGATGGGTTGCGTCAACGGAAAAAGCATAAAGTTTCACGGGCACCTTAAAGCTGCAATTCAGGTTGATTTCAGGGAACTGGTCAATGCAGTCTGTACCACTGGGAATCATACCGGCTGGACAAATGATTTTTCTGCATTTCTCCTGTAAATATCAATTATAGTATTAATACCATGCATAATTATCCCCCAGAAGTTACAGCAGGAATAGAAATTAACCAAAGAGAAGTTCAAAAACTGTATTTGGTCTAATATGTAATAATATGAACAATGGATACACATTTTAACTTTTTAGATTTCTGTCACAATGATTTTAAACTAACTATCATGTTTTGTCCTATATTTTGTATATCAGCAACCCATTTTACTCCCTCTAATAAATTTCACCCTAAGGTGTTTATTAAGATATTGTTTGATGTAGTTACATATATTTGAAAACATGCTGCAATTACTGTAAACAACATAAGATGTCTTATAGATTTTATTAAATCACACCTTATATTTCGAGCTATATGTTTATGCACTGTAGTAGGGAAGTGAAGAAGGTCAAGGATTTTTTATCGGCAATATCATCCTTTTGAGTGTATAAAAACCGTGCCATGAAATACCAGTGGAACTCAATATATAAAAAATATCACCTTGGTGAAAACAAATTTAGGTTTTGTACAGTAACAATATGCATGTGGACTTGCACCATACTAAAACACATAAAAAATGGAGGAACAGGGAAAAAGAAAATAAATTCAATACCGCCTTAATTCTCTATGTAAATTCGGGTTTTGGATATTTGTTTAAGCACCAAAAATTCATTCTGAAAAATATTGTTTCCTTGTATTGAGTAGAATAGGTACTTTTAAGTCTTTCAGATATAAAACTTAAATGCATGTTGTATTTGTTATTTAATTTTGTCAAAGAATGTTTAGACTTTTTCATCATTACTGGTTTTCTGGATACATGCCCCCTCATATGTGTAGAACTAAAAACAATCCGTTTGTTGCCACAAGATACAGAGGGGAACACAATGACTTACGTATCCTTTTCTTTTGACATATCCTGCTGGGCATCCCTCTTGTATAATCCTCTTGCCGGCGGCTGCCATTTTGAAATCTGGGCCAAAATCCATCAGCATTGAAAACGGTTGAACGCCTGAAAGTACCCTATTGCTGAACGATGTGTGCGCCTCACGTATGTTTGCTTTTGCCTGTGGACATATTAAGCTATCGTTTCGAAGGATAACGCCATTGCACAGCGCACAATCAACGTTAGCGAATAAGCCAAATGATGACCACATGTGTGAACGCTCATCGGGACGGTATTCAGTAAAAATCATTACTGTCTCCATTTTGGGGACTTCTGTCGTTGACTCCGATACCGGTGGGGTGGAATTCGTGGCAGAAAACAGATTAGGTGGTAACCCTCCGACTACCCACTGATGATATGCACCGCATCTGGCTATCTGTTCTTCGTCATAGTTCTTCCAAAGACCTGTCACGTTGCAAGTTTGAATAAGATCACCATATTCAAAAGGTTGAAATGGCGCCATCCACTCTTCGTACCATAAATCTACCGATAAGAAGTCCACGGTAATGTTGTCAGAATTTTTGTTGGCATTTGTCCTACACATGTGCATATCACCCTCCATATGAGAGCGTTGCTTAAACAGAATTGAACAACTCGGCAAAGATACAATTTGTCTCAACAAAGAAAGTTTGTCTGTGGAATTTCTGGGCAATGAATTGATTACGTCTGGCGATTTGCAGTGAAAATTAAGCAGCCAAGGCTGTATCTCTGTATCATTGTGACAAAGAGCACAGAAAAGATTTCTATACACCACACGACTTGTCTTGGACCAGACTGGTAGGTCTCTTTTGGGGTCTATATTGGCTGTTCTACCCGCGTTGAAACATTCCATGGAGGTAATATTGTCGGCATTTGGCGGACAAGACGTTACCATTTTCACCGCGTTCGACATACCTGGCAGAGTAACACACGACGTTTGGTTCAACTTATTCTTGTTATTTTTCAACCTCCTTATTTCAGCTTCCGAACCATTAAAAGCGACATCATGACAACAATCTCCATAAGCCATGCAGGTTTCCGGGTCACAACTGCAGTAGGGCGAATCATCTCCGTAATGTCCGCAAGAGAAAGTGATATTTATCAGTGGACATAGCCTGTTTATTTCTTCCTCGTTTCTGTGAAAAATTCGCAGGAGGTGTGGTAAATCATTTTCGTCTTCACTTGATGATGATAGGTTAGTTTTCACAGCACTGCCAACGTTCACAAACGCACAAACATGCAAGTACCAAACTAAAGCCCTGTTTGAGAGAAACATGTTGCGCTGTGTGCGGAAAAATTCCGTTTTGTCCCAGTTATCAGGGCAGAGGCGTTAGTATAGGCACTGTAGCTCATATGTCAGAACAGTAGAATAATCAATCTAACCTTGAAACAAATATAGTGAACATAATTATGCCTTTAACCTCTAGGATTAACTCGACTTGAAACCATTCTATTTTCTAAGTGCCCAAGCAGATCATATATAATGCATGTTACAAGAGTGCCTCTATTCCCTCTGGGTAGAATATATGTAGGAAATTAAAAATAATAAGTCCACAACCCTCTTACTTGTTTATTATATACATCTGATTACACAGGAAATTGAATGGTCTTCATATGTTATTTTCGTTGCTTTACACATATTATTGAAAATATGATAGCATAGGCCTACCTGGTTCTTTATTCAGCATTTTTGTTACATGTTAACATTGTCTATGCTACTTCCGATGCTACTGCATGGCTACATACGAGTAGAAAGTAAAAGAAATAATTTAATATGGTTGATGATTGTCTATCAATTGATGTACGAGTATACAGGGTCAGAGAAGTTTTGGACTCTTTTTTCTCGTGTTGCTTATTGTATATATAGAGCAACTCTAGTTGGAAGGATTCATACTTGATGTGTTTAGTAATTTTCATGATAATAACTTAGTTATAGAGTCACGTCGGAAACCGTTCATTATATCAGACAAATTACAAAGCAGCAAAAATGACGACTGGCCACCCTTGGTGCAGAAACGTGTAAGGTGGTGAAAAAAGGTAGTTGGTGCTCTGCAAGTCTTTATTTTTATTGCACTGATTTTGAGATGAAAAGTTCACATGAAAGTAACTGAGAAAAAGCTATTTTTCCAAACATACGCCTTTATAACGATTCTAGACCCCCCCCCCCCCCCCCGACAATATCCACCAAGACTTCCCAGGAAAGAAAATACTCTATTTGAGGTATTTATATAATTCTTAAATATTTTACTAAATAAAGAAAGAAGACAGGACAGGAAATGAAAATATGAAGTATTGGCTATAAATTACAAGGTTCAGAAAGTTCACTTACGTGCATAAGTAAACCATGGAAGGGAGCCGTTACTTGTTGGATCCTATAGAGGCAGATTTTGTAAAAATTTTAATAAAAAAAATAAAAATAAATAAAAAAATACCATTCAGTCAGTTTTTTCAGTTCTGTCTAAAACTGAACAAAATTTATGCCATTTTTTGTTTGTGAGTTTTCTGAGTAACAGGTTAAGTAAATCATAGAAAAAGAAAATAAGTTTGAGACAGGAAATCCGATGGCAAGCACATTTCAAAATAATTGTGATTACAGTCATTTTGGTGGTAAAATATAATTTATTATATATCTCTGTGCTGTTTACCAAGTATTTATTGTGGAAAATATTAATCTCATAAAGAAGAGTTGTTATCCCAGTACGTAATTACCAGGCTATTTAAAGTGGCCATTTATGAAAAAAGGTTGCGATACAGATAAGTATAACGTACCAGGTGTACAGGGCCCAAAACTGGCGGTGTGTATTTGGAGCCCGCCCTTCAGAGATGCGAATCCAGTTGTGACTCAAACTTTGCCACTTCCCATCCAAATTAAATTGCATCATTTTACACAGAGGAAATCGTGGGCGATGTGTAGAGCATAAGCATACAGACAACGGAGACAAAAGAAAACAAACATCATTGGCAGATTATTCGTACATGTTATTGAAATTATATAGACATGGAAGCCTTTTAAACATCATTTACTATTAAATAAATCATTAGTATGTCACTTCATTTGCATAACTACTCTTCTAAAGAGTGAAATAGGTGAAAGAATAGTACCTTTGGGAAATTGTTAATTTCCGTAATGGAAATGGCACCTTTTACTGGTACTCTTGTTGTCGGATAATGGCTTGATGATAGATCGCACCTTAAGCGAATAATCTTCCCTCTGGACATGATTCACCCTTTCTGTCTAATGAGGACATTTTAATTAGATTCCTCTTACTACACTGCTCCCTCTCCGATCCCCCAAATAATTAATAATAAGCAAATAAATAATTACAATATAAAATAAATAAACAATAGTAACAATCATGATCACTGGAGAAGCATTCAGAGAGCGCAGACCTCCGCAAAGGAAACTCTATTCTCACTGATCATTCCTTAATCATTTAATTAACTCAATTTCCATTATTGCTAATTAATGATAAACTAAATAATGAGCTAAATTCTCAAAAATCAAATTAAGTTACAGCTAAATCTCCACCTTAACATAGCCCATTTCCGACCTATCCTGAAAATTTTATTAAAATCCGGCCATAATTTTTGAAATATACGTTTGTACCAGACAGACATACAAATAACAATTAACAATAAACCACGAATTGATTAAATAATTATTGGATAACCGAAATCTAATCAATTTGAAGTTGTAGCTTATTTGTGATCTATCTACTGACATCAAAATCCAATCTTAACTTTTTGAGTTAGGCTGGTGGCAAACTAACTAACAAATAACATAGAAAACCACCTTATTGGCACTGGTAATAACAATAACAGTATCATAACAATAATAGCAACAACACATACATAGATGACAAAGGTTATGCCATAAACAATCAAATCAATCCTTAACATATGCATATAATAGAAGAACTAGATTTTTTCTTCGAAATGAGTTTTGTTTCATATTGAGTAAATTAAATACTTCTCACACACGTGACAAGGGCCTGGAGACACGTCCTGTCCATATAACTCACATGACCTCAAAGAGTAGTAGTAATAGTAACTTGCCTTAAACAATTGCCTTTAGTAAGTTAGGAGTTGGCATGCACCTTACAGGTATTTAATAACATGCTTTTTTTAAATAAAATTTACATCGTTATTTTCATCCACCCAGGTGTAGGCACATGTTACGACGAATAAACTGTTATGACCAATTCATCAGGTCAGTTCCTTGTATAGGATCTGAGGTTGAGATCTCAACACTGGGCAGTTATCAATTACAAAGCCCTATGTTTTTATAAAGTATTATTATTTACATATCAACTACTTGGTGATAAGCTGGGTACAGGCAGTGTTTTTTTAAATGACGAACACCCACGCTGACAATTCAACTAGCATCTAAATGCATAAATTACACAGGGAAAATTCACACAGACATATTCCCATTTCCAAATTTAGGCACATTTCAATATTTCCCTATGTACCATTTTGAGCATATATTTATCAGATTTAAAACTCCCAGTCAGATCAAAATAATGGAAGATGCAACAATGACAAGAAGACAAAACTGGCGAAACAAGACATTGTTGGTATTTTATGTGAACATAAAAGCAAACGTGATCCTAACCTTACTTCCAGTCTGCCAGCTCTAACTGATATTATTCTTACATTCAGTGCTTTGATTAACAACACTCTGTAGGACAAAACCATTCCTCAGATGCAAGTTCCTCACAACTCACTGACTGGAATCTTTTGTTAATCCATTAGTTTGTTCGGTGTTTATCTCACTTTATTTATATTATTTTCTGTGTTACTACAGTAACCATTCAGAAGTTCAGTATTGCTTGTTGATTGGCCAACATTTTTATTCCTTAGGTCCCCTTTATTCTTCAGTAGCATGTCCATACTATTATCTTTTTCACTGGAGGGAACAGTTTCAAAACTACTTCTATTCCCATTAATTTGGTTAAAGTTATCTGTCACAACATTTTCAGACCCAGTGACTTGGGTAGTACAGTCTTTGGTACCCATGTTCTGGGCAATACAGTCCATGGTACCTGTCATTCGTGCATTACTGTCAGTGGTGCCAATGACCTGGGCAGAACAGTCTGTGATGACCGTGAACTTGGCGGTACAGTCCCTGGTACCCTTGAGCTTGGCGGTATGGTCAGTGGTACCCTTGACCTGTGTGGTATAGTCTGTGATAACGGTAAAAGTACCACTACAAGAGCCAGACTCTGTATTGCACATTTCAGCAGTTCTGTCTTCTGGAATTCTTTCACCAGCATCACATAAATTAGCACCAATTTCTTCAGCATCTTTGTCACTTATACCAGACAGCTTTGAAGCCATGCTTTTTCTTTTCACATCTGTCTTCACCTTTTTCTGGAACATTAAAGTATTAAGTCTTATCAAGAATCTCAAAACACTCAATAATAACAACATTATATCAATCAGTGCTTTTAGACTTTTGAAGCATTTTTCGTTCACTCTGGTGAACACAATTTATCTAAGTGTCTTCTTAATCTTACTTTTAAATAAATAATTTCTGTATGAGTAATATTTTAAAACAAAAAAGAATATGGTCGGAATATAAAGTCATGAAATCTCATGTTAAAACTTTTCACCTTTTTAAACCGCTGTTATTGTCATGCAATTTCTGATGCTGGCATAGCTTTTGCTGAAAATAAAATACACATCATTTTACTGATGCCCCTGGAGATAAATACACTGAGTATAAAAACCATGAACATTTTACCATAGAGAGGCACTTTTTTAAATTTGACCTTATCCTTATTTTCTAGAAATATCCAAATCCACTATGAAAAAAAGTGTTAAAAGTACATTCTGATACAGAATGCATGTCACAGTTAGTTTTGAATTTTAAAGTTACATTTGAAGCCAGTGTGGATTTGCATACAGACCACTTGTACAAGTTTCTCATAAGTATATAAGTATAGTACATACTTTTGTTGCAAATGTCCTGCTACACCCAGTTTGTGTACAGGGAAATCTCTTCCCATCATGGTAAGACTTCAAGTGGTGCGTCAGGTTCCTTATGTCTAAGTAGGACCTGGGGCAGTTATCGTAGGGGCAGGCAAATTGGTCCCTCTCTCCACTGTGAACTGCTTCATGTTTTCTCAGCCACTCTTTCCTGGTGAACGTTTTCTTAAAGGTAGAGCAAGTGTGAACTGGAAAAAGATGACTACTACGTGGACACTGCTTCTCGCAAGGCAGACTTGTACCTTGCCATTACAAACTTTTCTCTATCTCTACGAACTCCACGGCCTCCACTAAACCCAAAATTCGCAGGGGCTGTACGATCCTAAAATTCGTGCGTCCGGTTGTGACCGAGGCTTAAAAGATGATTTTTGCGGTTGCTTTACGTACAGTACATATAAATTGTTCTTCCTGATCAATCTTTACACCTTTAAAATTTGAAACAATTATAATAAAGA